TTTATGATGTCCAATTATAAAATTTTACCAGTAAAAAAAAAAATTTTTATTAGTACAGTATTAAATGTAAAATAACGTGAAAATATTTTCAGTATTTTCTATTGCATGGATACATTCTTTGTGAAACCCTTAAAGGAATGTGAATTAAATTATGATGTATACAGTCTTAATATTAGTTTCCAGTATTTGTACATAAAACAGAAAATGTGCAAATCTAAGGCCTAATTTTATGGATATATCAGATTTTTAGATTACGTTTCTTTACATTGGTCAACTGAAAAAAATATTTTTTTATTATTGTAAAAAAAAAGTGCTATCTTTCAGTCATACCATAAAATGTAAAACTTTTATATTACATTTTTTTATTTTAAGAAATAACACGTTAGAAACTTATTTCTCATTAATATCAATATAAATTTGGCTTAAATACCTTGTAGATCAAGTAAAAGTTTAGAAGTAGTTTGGAAAAAGTGCATATTAGAATATATTATTTATAGATAAATGAAAAAATTGTTGTTTCACATTTGAAGATATTGTTATATAAAATCTGAGGCAGAATTGTTACTCAGTGAACATAGAGAATTAATCTATATTCGAAATAATGAAAAATAAATTTATTACATATCTTTATTTGCAAGAGTGAGAGAAGTTCATTGTTTCGTGTATATATTAAATATTATCCAAAAATGATATTAAATCTTAAATTAAACGTGTAACTGTAAATTATTTACAGATATAAAAAAGTTTGTTAGATTTTGTGAATAGAATACGTAAAGTATCTACTCACATATTTTAATATCGCTGTATATTGTAAATGATGTTAAGTAACGTTGTTAATAATAGTTATGTTAATATTTAACATAACCAAAATATCTTGTAATTCCGCAAATTACATTCCGTTCTTAGTTATGAACGTGCTATTACATGTATTACATATTGTGTGTATGTATGTATATGTTACGTATGTACTTACATACACGCGCGTGCGCAAACACACACACACAAACACCTTTAAAAACTCGTACTCTAATACATTTATGGTTTAGTACTATTTTTCCTTTTTGTAGTAAATGAAAAATGCTGTTGCTTTTTATTGTATATTTTCATTTGTAGTTATAATAAATTGCATAATTATTAATACACTAAATAATTATTTAAAATTATATTACAAATAATACTTTGTAGATAGATAAATGATAACAGTAGCTGGAAATTTTAATCTATCACAAGATTATTCATTTTCTTAGCAAATAATCAACAACGTTTATTACGAGCAACATTAAGCCGTAAACTGCGCATGGCCATAGCGCGACTAAAATGACGTTGAACTGGACGTTGAAGTTGTCCATTGACTAGACTAGAGTCTTCGTCACATTCTACACTGCTTAGAACTACTAAAAGTACTCCAAGCACCTGCAATATAAATATATATTTTGAATATAATATGAATAACATATTTGTATTTTGCCTTAATATGAAGTGTACTGATATCTATAATAGAGTAATGAGATGTATTTTCTTTATCTTACATACCAAACATATAATTATCAGTAATGTATAGATACGTATGCTTGCGGCCGGAAGTGACTCTACCTCTCTCAATGCTTCAGCCGCTTCAGAAAGGTCTGGTTTTAATTCTAGAGCTTGTCTCAAATATACAGCTGCTTCTTGATAATGGTCATATGCCTGCAAACACGAGTATAAAAATTATAATGATAAAATATTTCTTGATAGTATTACTTTAAAATAAATTAACAAAATACTCATATTAAATATTATATTCAATCATTATATTGAGTTTTACATTCAACATTATAAAAAATTGAAACAAAATAATAAGAATAGTGAAGTATAACACCCTTTAAATGTAGAATTAATAGCATAAAACGAATTATCCTCATAAAACTCTCAATTACCTTGAATATTTGACCAAGTGTGAGATATTGTTCCCAAGCATTGCGATCTGGTGGTTGCAATTCTAAAGAACGTCTTGTTAAATATGTTGCATCATCCAGATATTGTTGAACTAAAAGTACTCTAGCCAAATTTAACAAGACTTCTGCATTATGCGGTGATACAGCAAGTGCTCTTCGAAAACATTCAATTGATCTTTGTGCATCACCTTTTATACGCCAAAAATTTCCTATTTGATTATAAAGTTGAACAGATTTTGGTTTCTATAACAAATCCAACAAAATATACATACATATATTTTTATACAAGACATATTTGCTTGCTTGGAAACAAAGTATCTTGAAACATCTATACTATACCTCTCGTTTTGCTTTTATTAAACGTTTCTCTAACAAATCAATGTCAACATCCATAGTTTTGCCACCATTCTTCTTAAACATTAGTGCTACGTTAGGTTCTGGAGCCAGTGGATGTTTATCCCTATTTTCAACACCAAGCAAGTTGTCATAATAAGTAAAATTAACAGACTTTCCACAGTCTAGGATTATATCCTCACATTGTTGACCAGAAGTACACATGATTTGCTCATTTGACACTTGTGATGATAGAGGAAAAGATTCAGTGGCATTTGGTGTATCCTTCAACACGTATGACGAGAATCGTCTGCCAAGGGGACCAAAGTTAGGGCTTTTTTAACACTGAAAGAACAGTAAGCCACACACAAATACTAACTACAGGAAGAAAAAGAAAATTACATTGGGTTATTTGTAATAATTATTAAAAACAAAATTTAAAATACAAGAATTGATTGTATTTAAATAAAGTATATAAAAAAAAAGGT